AGGAGCAATAGGGAAACACAAAACAAGTTTCATTTCTTTTGTATTCGACAAATACTTTATACCAACAACACTTCACTTAATAATTTTTTTCATTAGTAAGAGTAAAAAGGTAGAAATCAATATTGTCATTTGGGAAATCAGCTTTCTTTCTGGTTACGGTTAACCTTCTGACAGGACAGCATTAAGTCGTTGCTGAGGTCACAATGGATGTTCCTATTCTTTTATCTAGCTGAACAAAGGTGTCAGTTGAATGACGGATGGCGTCTTAGATTAAGGCTATCACCTTGCCAAATGGCCATAATTAGCTGAAAAAACAAATCTTCTTCCACCGTAACCTGAAAAGTATTGTATAATCGTGTCAACAAGGTAAATCCATAACGTTGGTGCCCATTAATAGTCTTCTCCTTTTCTGGTTTCGTACACTTTATTTCCTGTTTCTATTTATATGGCAGTGTACTTTCCTGAAAGTTAGAAAAACATAAAATCTGCTCCCTCTCTGTGTCTTTCTCCTAACACAATCTTTTACCTATCGCTGCTGTGGCGATGTGACTACTAGACTGTCTCTTCGAAGTGTTGTTCAGTGTACCTTCTGTCTCCATCTCAGTGCGACCCCCTCCCAGTTCCCACCCTTCTGCATTTCAATTTTTCTAGTTACTCACAGGTAGGAATCCAGTGCAGAAAGCCACATTTCCATCTATCTGGCTGTAATTGCAACGCATATTTTAAAGTTGAGATAGGGTATTGAAATTCGCCTGTAAGCATGACCGTTTAAGGTCCTCGAGTCTCAATGACAATTGTAGACATTGATTGAAAGCTGAGAGATAATAGTCTCAAATTCACGATCCCTTCAACGTTCTGGACAGTCAATGTCCGTTGTATCTCATATAAACTGATGTCCACTGCATTGTATCATTCGGAAATAAAAGATTTCCAGGTGTCTGTGAGCTGACCCAGCGTATGACAACGCCCGTGATGCAGACGGGCAGAATGTATAATAGATCCTGCTGATTCATTCTTCTCTTGAACCAACCATTGCTATAAATTTTTATTATGTGCATGTGTTTGTGTGTGTTTGTGTGCCTGCGTGACTATGTTTGAGTGTGTGAATGTGTGTACGTGTGATCATGTATGTGTGTGTTTCTATAAAAAGGTGCATCAAAACATACAATGATATGGAAACAGAGCCTTAAGCAAACAAGCCTGCCTTTTATATTCATTCAGAAAAATCAATTGCGTGACAGTAATCCCCCAGTCCACAATAATCCGGTGTCATTTCCCAGTGTCGAGGGGCGAAATGACATCCCAGGTGAAATTGTACATATGTTATGTTCTCTCTCCATGTTGAAATGGTAGCAGAGTGGTGATCAAGTCATTCGTATACAGGACAATAAGGCAACATTTTACTGGCTCACTTGCTAGAGTCAGTTGCATAGATGTAGGATACTATGACACTATGACCATAGAGTATACACTTCCTACATCTATGGTCAGTTGTGAAGACAGACATTGCAACGGTAGGGTATGACAAGGCATTGTTTGGTATGGCTATGTATGATTGTATGGTAGGGCGTGTTTTGGTAAAGTCAAGTATGATATTGTACTGTAGGGCGTGGTGTGTTTCGGTAAGGCAAAGTAGGCTAATGTATTGTATGGTATGGTAGGAATTTAACGCCCCTTTCAACCAAATAAAAGGGTGTCGTTCATAAAAAGGACAGGTTTCGATCTCGAAAAAACAAGAGACAAGGCGGGGTAAAATGTGAAAAGTAAAGAGGAAAAAACTCAGGATGGGTATTCTGCAGCTCTGAAAGCACTAGACATGCACTTCTTCCGAACTCCAGGGAGCGTTAGTACACAAACCTTATAGTGTGATGTGCGCTGTGCTTTGCAATGTTTTTTTTAAATCAAACCTATTAAACGTCAATCAAGAGATACAAGGAAACTATAGGAGCAAACAAAAATGTGAAATAACATCATGCCACCATTTTCGTCCAAAGACACTGGGATAACAACGTTGAACATCCCACGTTTTAAATAATTGTAGGTGTTTTACGCCCCCGTCGACTCTGTTTAAATCATTTAGGAAGTGGGCTGCCTCGACCCTGTGAGTGATACAACATCCTAGTAGACAGGCGGCGATAATCTTTTTGTTTCTCTAAAACTACCCACACAAGAATGGAACTCACGTATTCTTCGAGCGACAGCATACGTAGCTCCTAACTGCTAAACCACAGACACTCTTCCTGGTGTCTTTCCTGTTACACTTTTTCTTTCTCCTTAGTCTTTTTCTGGCACAACACAGCGACCATTGTGTCTTTTCAACTCGGAGTTGTTCTCGAAATGCTACAAAACGAAGCTACACTGTGCAAAGGACCAAACCATAGGCCAACAAAACGCGGAACTGCCAAACGGATCGGTTCTCCAATCACCAACCGTAGGTCTCGACAGCCTCATCTACAGAGCTGTTCCCCAGAAAAAAGCCGACAGGAGAGAAAGCGAGTTAATGTCAACAATCCAGCATCATCTAAACTTAGAAACAAATGAGAAAAAGAACAGTGAGAAAAGAGGGGGGAAAAACAGGTCCTCTACTTTCCTTGCAACTACATCTTGGAGATTGTTCTTTCCCATGAAAATATCTCTCTGCTCACCTCCGACCCCGTTTTCCCCCATCCCCTTCTCCACACTCTTTTCCTGGTCAATAAAAGATAATGGCCAAACAGGGAAGATTCCATGCTACGAAAGGAGGAGGTTCAAGACACCCGGAGAAATTCTTTGCCCGAGCCACTTGACATTTCACTCCACGAGGCCCTTCAAACCTTTGATGTATGACACATTCTGTAGCATTTTCTACATAGACAGGTAGGAACTGATAGGGATAAAAGGGTGGAGAGAAAAGACAGACATGTAGCAAGAGAGACAGAAAGGGGGAGAGGGAAAGAGGGAGAAAAAGAGATATATAGAAAGAGAGAGACATAAATTATTCATTTATACATAGTATATCATTTATATATAAATATCATTCACAATATATATATATATATATATATATATATATATATATATATATATATATATATATATATATATATATATATACAGACAGAGAGAGACAGAGATAGACAGAGATAGGCAGAGAGAAAGAGAGAGAGAGAGAGAGAGAGAGAGAGAGAGAGAGAAGGAAAAAGGGAGAGAGAGACAGAGAGAGAGACAGACAGACAGAGACAGACAGAGACAGACAGAGACAGACAGAGACAGACAGAGACAGACAGAGAGACAGACAGAGAGACAGAGAGAAAGAAAAAGAGACAGACAGAGAGACCGGGGAGGAAGGGGCAGTTATATGTACAAAAGCAAAAACAAGAAAAACGTATAAACTAAAACTAACCAACACAGACAAACAGAAACGATTGCCACGATACAAAAATACAAACCACAGGTGTCCCCTCCCTTCCTTCCTTCCTTCCTTCCTTCCTTCCTTCCTTCCTTCCTTCCTTCCTTCCTTCCTTACTTACTTACTTACCCCTCTCTTTCTCTCGCTCTCTCTCTCTCTCTCTCTCTCTCTCTCTCTCTCTCTCTCTCTCTCTCTCTCTCTCTCTCTCTATCTATCTATCTATCTATCTCTCTTTTACTGTCTCTCTCTGTCTTACACACATATACATGCACACACACACACGCGCGCGTACACACGCACACACACGCACACGCGTGCGCGGGTACTGATATTGATATATACAGAGACTGAGAGAGAGCGAGATGCAGATAGACAGACAGACAGACACGCCCACAGGCGCACACACACAAACATACAAACAGGCACACACACACAAACATACACACACAAACGTGAACAAAAAGGGGAAAAAGAGGAAAAGACGGGGGTCTGATTAGGCAAATAAGGATATAAACCTAAAGATGAATTAATTAGCTAACGACGGACAACACAGACAATAATAATATTAATATGACTTAAATTCTATTATTGCCAGTAAGTATCCAGCGACTTCAACAGCGGTTTACCTGGGGAAAGCTCGTCACTACAGAAATACGTAGAGCTATGCATAAGATAAACTTCTTTACATAATACATAATATGAGGAAACAGAATACCATTAAGACAATAACGAAGTCTTGCGTACGGCAAGAACGGGGTGAAAGGGCAGACTCTTCGCCGCTGCACGCAGATGGAGTTCGATTCCCGCGTGGGGAAAATTATTTAAACAAAAATCTCCATCTGTCTGATGAGATGTTGTATTCCACCCAGCTTGGGATGGCTATAAGACGCAAGACTGATGCAGCCCGCATGTCAGTGGTCCAAACGGTGTCCATTTGGGTGTAAGATAATCATAATTGTAGTGAAACAGTTGATTTGACCAAAGTTGAAAGGTCGATAACCTGGTCCAAAATTCTACTAAACTAAACCCAAAACCAGAGCAAACTTATGAATATATGTGACTGGTTAGACGAGAAACCAGCACAGCACCACTGTTATCTGGACGAAGACAAACGTTTTATTAATTATTGCACCTCATCGCATCCCCCTCCCTTAAAAAATCCACTCCCACCCTATTTCTCACTTCAAGGGGAAATAAATATATACAGGCAAACAACCAAATAAAACAAAATAACAACTACCTGATTTATGTTTACCGAAAACATTATCGAAATGAAACAAAAGCAACGACAAAAGTAAATGAATGTCTCTGTCGTCAAACTCTTCCCATCCATCTCGGGCATGAGAGCCCATACAGGACAAGGAACAACAAACTAGAACAAGAGCAACAAAAACAAAACAATGTCAACACGGGAAATATACAGCGTGACGCAACAGTGGACAAGTCACAACAAGAATAGAATAGCTATCACTTGTTTCGAGCAAAAACAAGACACCCCTCCCCCCAAGAAAAAAACCCAAAAATGCACGAAAAATCTGGGAGTCGTTTCAAACCGATGTGACGGTACCAGAAATCTGTCCACAAAGCCAGAAAAATCTGGCAAAACTCACCTGACATTATCGTGCCTTTGTATATAGATCTTGTGAAACATGGCCTCTTTCTTATTGCCGGCGATGTCAGCTTTCATTTCCATGGCAACATGACGGGGCAGCACGGACAACAAAAGCCGTTCCTGTGAATAAAGGAATAAAAATGACTAACTAAGAGAGAAACAAAGTGAAAGGGGATACGTCGGTTTGTTACCCAGTCAGTCAGCCAGTCAGCCTTGAAGTGAGTGAGTGAGTGAGTGAGTGAGTGAGTGAGTGAGTGAGTGAGTGAGTGAGTAAGTGAGGAAGCAAGAAGGAAGTGAGGAAACAGACAAGTAAATCACCCCAAAAAATGACAGGAATAACTGGTAATAAAAAAAAAAGAAAACAAACACGTAAAAATGTTGTCAATGTTAGAGAACTTAGAGCATAGTTGCAGAAAGAGACAGAGGTTTGAAGTCAGAGAAATGAATCATTTCAGCGACGATAAGTTGCTTCTATCATGCTGTGATAAATCTGATCGGCGAATTCATTAGTCTGAAAAAGTACAACGGATGCCAACATCTATAATAATCCATCAATAGTCCATCCATTTCTTTGTCGACGCGTTCGCCGCTATGTGCTCAGCAATCGGTTGTTTTGAAGTTAACCCAAATTTTGACCTATGTGTGCCTACACCGTACAAAAATGCTTTTCAAGAGGTAAATTAACAAGTGGCAATTAGGACTTTCTTTCTCGTTGACACTAAGTGTTTACAATCCCTATATCGCAAACAAAAACAAATATGCGCTTTCGGGGGAGTACAAAATGCTCCTGCAAAGTATGTCTGGTAGTTGGTAAAATCACCAAAGGCCTACGTTAAATTATTGTCCTGAGTAGGATGACTCGTCCGTCTCTAGGTTTGACGACTTGTATAACCGGACCCCCCTCTACACGCTCTGTGCGCTTTACATATTATTACCCCAGCAGACCATAGAACATTCAGAAACATTCTCAGCTTCCAGAGAAGCATACAGTGCAAGTAGCTGATTAAGCGCCCAAACACTAAAAAACTGACACGATCTTTCACTGTTTATAAGTGGGTACCCATTCCCACCTGGGTGAATTGAGGAAAATTCGTGTAAAGTGTCTTTCCCAAGGATACTACGTCGGGTCCCTGACGGGATTCGAACCCACGACCTTGTGGTTGCGTGTCTGGGAGCCTAACCACTGGGCCACCGACGCTGTTATGTTTGGCATTTTTTCAATTAAAAGGGCGTATTCCCAGATGCAAGGACATTAATGGCCTTTGCTCAAATATGAATTCCATGGGGTTTCAATGAGATAAAAAGGATGGTAAGTGCAGGTGAATATGGCTATATTGATTTACAATGATGTTACCGCTTAAATTAGTCGGGCCAAAACAGTATACGGTAATAACATTGTAAAACATCAAAACCACATTTAGCCAGGTGCTAATCAACTTACCATAATCGTTTTAATACCCCCCCCCCCCAAAAAAATGTTATCGAACAGGCAAGCTCAGCTCCTAAATGACTATTGAGCAGACCTTAACTGTGGGATTAAGTATGCTGAAAGAAACCTAAAATATTTTAGGAGGGTTCAAAATATTTATGAATGGACGGTGAAAGTACTCCAGGCATAGAAGGACAAGGTAGCTACATAGTATCATAAAACATCTGACAACAGGTATCCGCTTTTGCTAACTGGCGTTCATTTTTATTCGACACCTAGGTATCTTTTCCTCGGTTACCTTTTAATTTACAACCCGTACTTCCATTTTTTTTATATCAAACAGCAATATTAAATTACAGATATTGCCGTCAATTCTGTTCTAGATTTACTCAGCAATTTGGAGTGCACAGAGGTGACTGCATACAGGTCTTTTTTTTTAGAGAAAGAAGAAAGGAAAGCGGAGAAAAGAGAGACTTGGAAAGAGAGTGAGTGGGAGACAGAGAAGGAAGGGGGGGGAGGGAGAGAGAGAGAGAGAGAGAGGGGGGGGAGAGAGGGAGAGAGAAAGTGGGAGCGAGAGAGGGGGCGGTAAAAGAGAGAAGCGGAAGAGAGAGGGGATGGGAAAGGAAGAGAGAGTGAGAGAGAGAGGGGGGAGATGAGAGAATATCGAGAAGGGGTGGCGATATTAAGCTTTCAATAAGCACACTGTCTGATCCAGACGTCAGCTTAACAGTCAGTGTCGGTATATTGTTCATCATGGCGTTTTTTGACGAGTTTCAGTGACTTCAATCTTAAAAGACTCCGACCTATCGGAGATGGAAATTTAATCGGCAATCTCGTCAACCCCATTACATAATTACCGTGCTTATCATAAAACAGTATTCGCAGAAATAAAAAATCCCGAGTTAGCGAAGATATACAGCTGATATAGAAAGAAACTTGAGTTTGTAAGAGCTCTTTATCATAGCAGCGTACAGATTATGACTGGGCGCAGTTACTGATCACCTGACGCAGAGGAGGGGAAGAAAGATCTTCGACGTGGTCAAAACCTCAAAGGTAATACATTGTAATAATTTTCAGCATACCTCTGCATATATATCATAATCTTAATAGAAATAAAGGTCTTGAACATCTAGTTCTCACTGGCAAAATTGAAGGCAAACGAGGCAGGGGAGGCCCAAGCTACCTACTTAGGGAATTTAAACAAATGGGTAACGGGAAAAAGATCAGGGAAACGTAGCTTTTTTAAGAGCATCCGAGCAACGTAATGAATGTAGAACCATGATCACAGATGTCTATTGCAGATCTGGCACTGGATTATGATGACATATTCAGGTCTCTGGCATGCACGTAAGTCGTTTGGTCTGCCCTGCAACCCAAAACCTACATGCCAATGGACACTTCGGATGCCCTGTCTAAAAATCTTAGTGGAACCCCCCCCCCCACCCTCAAGAAAAAAATAAAACAAATTAATCATATCTCCAGTCTATCACTTCTTTCGAACCCAAACCCTTCACCTTCACCCTCTCTACTCCCCCCCCTAAACCTCGTATAATATCAGCTTCCAATGGCAGTGTTACTATTGTTGCCTAAGCGCGAAATCCCATAATTAATTCGAGCGATTGATAACCCTCTCTCAAGTCTTATCCTCGGCCGTTTGATTATGTCACAGACCGACAGACAGACAGACAGACAGACAGACAGACAGACAGACAGACAGACAGACAGACATGGCCTGATACACACGAGCAGAGAAACATGCAACACGCACGCGAAAGTTTAAGCGTTATACCCTCTTTTCGGCATGCACCTAATTTACTAATCAAGCACGTCCATTGCCGTGGCTTGTTTTTCCACGAAAATCGCGTTTTGAGAAGCGGGAAAAAAATGAAAAAGCGAACCACCGGGTCCCACAACGTCCGGAATTTCATCACAGAAAGCGATTACTCAACTGCAAGGCGTGATCAAGGAGGGGATCGCCGGCCGAGGAGGCGAAACTTTTCCGACGCCACTTCACAGTATTGATTTCATATTTGAGTAAGAGATAGAGAGATAGAGAGAGAGAGGGGTCAGACAGACAGACAGACAGACAGACAGACAGACAGACAGACAGACAGACAGACAGACAAACAAGCAGACAGGGAGAAAAAGACATAAAACTAAACAGAGAAACAGGGACGAGGAAGACAGACAGAGACAGAAAAAGAGAGAGATAGAGAGGGAGAGAGAGATAGAGAGAGAGAAAGAGAGAAGAGAGAGAGAGAGAAGAGAGAGAAGAGAGAGAAGAGAGAGAGGAGAGAGAGGGAAGGGACAGAAAGACAGACAGAGAGGTGAAGACAATGGGGAAGGAAGGGACGAGAGAATAGGGACAAGTAAATTAAATTACCATGAGCGTGAAATAGCTTGGTTACCGCATTAGTGCGCCCTTTTCAATTAATGGCTGTCCTTCTGTTTTCATGTTTTGATGCCATTTAACGCTCTACTATACATAATGTGGCCACTTCAAAGGCACAGCATTGGACCCCTCGTCGGGACACCAGGTCAAGATGAAAGAAGGAGACAGAAAATAGTTCGGAATTCGTTCGGGTTCGAACCTTAAGGTCTCAGCAAACAACGCCGTTACATTGGAGAGCAGATCAAAGATTGACAGAGCTGACTGCTAAAACTCCAGTGCTTTGGGAGCCTCCACTAAGTACGGAGATTAAGAGGTCTAACTACGAGGGAGAGTCAAAAAGTAATGCAAGTTCGTTTATAACTTAAAGAAAAAGGAACGCACTGGCAACTATTATACCTCAAATTAAAGGGGAACATCTGAGGATCAAATGTCTATATCTCAATATGGTCTCCATTTTGTTCAATAGCCACTGACCAACTTTTACGAAGTCCACATATGCCAGCTTCGTAAAACTGAGCATGTTGGTTTTTGGGGCACAGCAGTCTTGGTTTCCCCATCGTTTCCAGAGTGTTGAACCCTCAATGATTCTTTTTGAGGACCGAACAGGTGGAAGTCTGAAGGTGTCAAATCAGGAGAATCAGCTGGGTGTGACAGTGCTTTCCATCCACACGAGGTGTTTGTCTCCCTTGTTCTGGTATTCGTACGCACGCGGGCATTGTCATGGTGAAAAACAAAACACTCTTTCCATTCTCAAATTTGGTCCAACTCGTCGAATTATCGCTTTCAGTCGTTTCAGTGTTTCAATGTAGGCTTCAGAACTAACTATTGTTCCTCGGGGTAAAAATAATTGTGAGATGCACACTATGAATGTCCCAAAACACGGTTGCCATGACTTTTTCCGCTGATTCTTCGGGACTATGCTTGTCTGACAAGCACAAGGGCACCTCTTCCATTTTCTTCCGGTCCATTGCTCAAACGTCTAACCCATCTGTATACAGTGCCAAACTCTAGAGCTTGGTCCTTGTAAACATTTTGAAGTCTCTTTTGAATGTTACCGATGTATTCTCCTTCTAAAACAAGAAAATCAATCACAGCTCTTTGCCTCTGACAGACCCCCAAGGGGGCAGCCATTTTGATGTGACGTCATTCAGGCAATAATAAAAGAAACTTAAATTGTAACAGTTTGAGTTCAAAAGTACATGTGCAAGTACTTGTGAGCTGAATTTCATATAATTTGATGCAAAGGTGTGCAAAATAACGAACAACTTGCATTACTTTTTTACTCCCCGTAGTAACAGA